TGATGACGATGACGATGACGACGATGATGGTGATGATGATGACGATGATGATGATGACGGGAGGAGGGAGGAGGGGGGAGGAGGAGGAGAGGAGAGGAGGACGCGGGGCACCGTCTCTTCAAAACGAGGACCCAACACCACAGGATGGTTGGGAAAAAATCCAAGAGGGAGGTGGGAGGGGCCAGGATGACTGCAGAGAGCCAACGAGCCCGGCCTCCCGTTCCCCGAGAAAAACCGTCAATGACTGAAATCCTCGATACACTAGGCGGCCGGGGTAGGGATAGCGGAGTGCTCGGAAAGGCTATACAAAACTCAAAGTGGCTGGTCAGACTGGCAACATATTTTCATCAGCCGGGTCAAGCCTTCAGGCACGTTCAAGCACGAGAGCATTCACAAGTAAATCAAATCGTGAATTATACCAAAGGGTAGGCAACATGCAGAATTCGGTCGCAACGCTCGTGAGCCAACAGCTCCCCGCAACCACCGCGATCCCCTGGGGCCTGCGGGAGGGTGGGTGGGTAACTCTCATTCACGATCTCAAGAAATCTTCTTTTTGTCTTTGAGGGCAGAGAAGAGCAACTGAAGGGGGCCTCGACACCAGCCAGGCAGGCTCGTCGACGGTCGACGGACTCCTGCACGCGCGCCTGGCCGAGGATGGCCAGCTGCTTCAAGATGCGGCCCTTCTTCTCGTATCGTCGGCAAGAAGCGATGACGTTCCATCGACCTCGCTTCTGGATCGTGACCGTGTCGATTCTATTCAAGGCGTCGACTGAGGCCCCCCCGTGTCGGAGGCTGTGTGGGCATAGCTTGAGGTCGCCGAAGTTCAAAGCCTGACAGGCCCGCCTGAAGATCAGCTCGTATTTCTGGGCGGTGAGGTCTGGGAAGAGATATTCCCCGGGCTTGGTGGTCCGCAGGATCTGCACAAAGATCGCACGCAGGACGGGCCTCCGCTCTGGTGCCGTCTCTCCAACGAGGACGGTGTCGTCGCTGGCTCCTGCCTTCGTCGGCTTCCCGAGCTCCCTCGTCGCAACGATCAGCGAGTAGTAGCTTCGAAGGCCCGAGCGAGCTTAAGGAGGGACGGCCTGATCTCGACCCGAGGAGACGGCCTCCGATATCCCCAGGTAGGTCTCGAACATGAGGAGGGCGAGGCCCGCCGCTTGGATCGACTCGATCGAGGCGTGCCGGGCCATGAAGCCGGCCAGGAAGATGGCGCTCTCCCACGGGGCGCCATCCCGCGACGCGCTGCACGAACTCTTGCGGTTGCCTTGCAGGGCCTTCCGAGTGAGCGGGAACTCCGACGTCTTCGACCACGTGAGGTTCTGCTCGTACATGAGCCCGTGCACCGTGTTGTTCGGGCGACAGATCGTTTCCCCGTCGAAGTACAGCTTGTGCAGGTACTGCTCCATGTCCACGTCCAGCTCCTGTTACGTGGTGGTGGGCATCATGGCGCTCTTGCAAAACAGGTAGAACAGCTTCGCCGTCTGTGTACACCCGCAGAGTCTTGCCGAAGATCGAGCGGCTCTTCAAGTACCCCTCTTGCCGAGAACCTCCTGCCCTGACGGCCCGCGCTCGGGCTCGGTCCGAGCGCAAGGCGTCCCCCTTCGGCGCGCCCGAGCCTCGGTCTGTCGAGCCAGGCGTTGGAGGGCCCGCGGTGGTCAGCAGCTTGGCGGGCGTCTGCGAGGGCGAGAGTCGCGATGGCTCGCCGCCTCCTCTCGCCACTGGACCCGCACATGGCGCGTCCTGTCGCGCGCTCCCATCCAGTAGCAAACCGCCGTGGACACGTCGGCGTGGCGATCGGCTGCGGGGTGGCCCCGACCTCGCCCGCCAGCTCATCGGCCCAAGGTTGACAGACGCTGGCCCCCCCGCTCGAAGAAACGCCCCGGGCGAAGCAGCCTGTTTGAGCCCACCGGCATACGCGCGGCAAGCTCCAGGCGGATAGGATGCGGCCAACGAGGTTTTCCAGCGCCAGGTAGGACGACGGTCTGGGCCCTCGACCCTGACCTTGCCATCGAGGATCTCGTGGGGGACTGTGCAGCTACATCTCCTATCCAGGGCCCCGAGAGAGACCGCGTGAGTATAGAATATCGCGGGCTTCTCGAACGGGGCCCCGTACCTGCACGCGTCGTATCGGACAGGACTGCACGAGCTCTTCTGGAGCTCCTTCTTCAATGGTTCGTAGGCCCATATCCCAGACGTGGCCAGGTTCTCCACCGAGACCGTGACCCCGCACCGACGACAAACCCGTAGAACACGACAACTGAAGAGCGCCACCGCCAGGCCCCTGGTGACCTCGTTGGAATCCTCGGAGCCAGTAGATCTTGCTTGGAACCAGCGGGTACATGGCGGAGCCAGATGAGCGTGCCATACCTTTTCTTCTCGAATCCAACGGATGACGCTACGCTGAACACGTGAGACGAGCAAGTCAACATGTTTTCCGTTCGCAACATCGATCGGACACAAGGTGCGCAGGCTGGCCTGCGCACAGGCTCCTGAGAGGCGCCCGCAGCCAGCAAACAGCTCGAGGACGCCGAGCGGCCGTCTCGCCTGGCTGTCGCCCCGAGCGAAGCTCGGGCTCCGGCCCTCGGCCGCCTGCACAGGGGCAGCCGCTTGGCCAGCGGCCACCGCCCGCAGCCGCCCGGCCGGGCGGCCAGGGCGCAGCGCCTCGCCCGCCTTCAGGATGCCCTTGTCCGCCAGGCGGGAGTCGGCGTCCGTCGGGTGACGCTCCGACTCGACGTACCTCCTCACCCAGCGGACCCAGGCGCCGAGCTGGAGGGCGGCCGCCCGACGACAGAGGGCGTTCAACCCATGGTCGACGGCACTCCCCTTCTCGGCCGCCATGATCTCGGACAGGTTGTCGCCAACCGGGAGGACCTGGCATCCGTGCGCCCTGGGGTCCGCGACGGCGTGCCTGAGCCCTGCCAGCGAGATGCGGCGCTCCTTCATGTGGATCGCCCCCCGCCGGTCCCAGGCTCCCACCAGTACTCTAGACCAGCGTGCTCCGTCCAGCAGCTCGTCGGGCACCGCCGGCACGATGTCAGTGACCACCTCGGGCTTCGCCGACGGCGGGCGGGCCCCGACAGGCCCCTCGGCCGTCGGCCCGCGTGGAGCACCCCCGGCACCTCGCCCAGGTCGAACGACTCGCCCAGGCAATCGAAGTTGGCGTCAGGGCCTGGCCCGTTAGCTTCGAGGCCGAGACCCAAAACCTCCTCGTCCGCAAAGCGCCAGCGCTCCCTCGAGCGGCCAACGGCCCGCAGCTCGGCCCCGCTGAAGTAGCCCTGGTGAAGCGCGTAGCCGTGGGTGGACGAGTCGCTGATGAAGGCCTTCTCGTAGAATGGGTCGCTGAGCCTCGCGACCACCAGTGGCAACGCCCCCTGGCACGCGCGAAGCTCGGAGACGACCGTGTCACAGAACCGCTGGTAGCGCCGATGTTCTCCTGACCGAACTGGTAGCACTCCTGCAAGATGCTCAGGCAGCACCGGGAGAGCAGGAAGAAGTTGACCATGTGCCCAAGCACCACGCGCATCACGTCTCCCGCGCAGCCCCCACGGGCCAACAGCTGGCCCACTCCGCAGTAGAGCCGCCAGAAGCGAAACCGCCGGTGCGTCCAGCTCTTGTCCGAACCGCAGAGCACGAAGCCGACCGCGTCCAAGTCCTCGTCGAACTCAACGAGGCCCCGAAGAGTGAAAACCCTCGAGACCAGCTCGCTCACCATCTCCTTGTGCACCAGCTTCGCGTCGGCAGCGTCGTAGCACACCACGTTCCCGTTGTCCACGTAGGGCGCGATGACAGGCCTGCCCTTGGAGAGGCTCGGAGCCGGGAAGCCGTCTTGAGCGAGCTGGCGCTCTGCGACCTCTCGGCTGCAAGCCCATCGGTCAGCGCTGAGTGACAGATACAGGCCCCGCGACCAGCCCATGGCCACGCCGCAGAAGCACTGCCAGACACGCTCGTCCGGCTCGACTCGCTCCCCGACGTCCTGCCCGTCAACGTTGTCGTAGACGACGCTGACGCCCGCCTCCCTCGCGGTGAGCTCGGCGGGGATACCGAGCCAGTCGGAGAGGGGGAGGTGCCGCAGCTGGTAGAAGCCGCCTTGGAAGTCCACTGAGCACCCGCAGAGCTGAAGGCCGTCGGCCATTGCTCCCAACGAGTCGGCCGACACATCCAACCCAGTGAGTGCCCCTCGCGCGGCCAAATATGAATGAGGAGGCCGACGATGAAGAAAGTTTGGCACTCGGGAGTCCACGATGAGCCGCTGCCACCAGCCGTCCTTCTTCAAAGCCGCGAAGAGGCCTACGAATGACTTCGCCCGCCTGCGGTGCACGACGAGCCCACACGAGTGAAGACGACTGATCAGCTCTCGCAGCATGGGTGAGTTGCCCCTCAGCCCTGGATCCAAATATGGACGTGGCGGAACCCCATCGGCGATCATCATGGTCTGGTGGACGCTCGATGAATCGCCCAGGGTCTCGTAGTAGCTCCTGCGCGTCGTTCCCCACCAGGCTGAGTGCATCCTCGGGAGTGGTTTCGCCCTGCATGATCTTCAGACGCTCAAGCACCATCGGCGCCAGAGTAGTGACATCGCCAACTTTGCACATATCCTTGCACTTCATCAAGGGAAAAAGAATTCTGTGCATCGAAGTCGTCTGGGGCGGGAAACACGCCCTCCACCCTCCGAGCGACTCGCCCCGAGATTGACCGCTGAGGATCAGACCGTCGCAACTGCAGCGGCCTTCCAGCGCGGGCACCAGCAAGTCCCTTGAGAGCACTCACAGCGTTGGTCACCATGAAGCGCCGCTCGTCAGGACTCCCAGCGCCCACCTGGAAGCGGCACCCGGCTGCCCGATCAACTCGCTCGTCGGCAGGCCGAGGAAGAGGGAACGCTTCCGCATGGAACAAAACTTCGCGGTCACGAGTGCGAGGGCGAGGACCCCCCCGCGCGCCGGCGCCTGCAATATCCAGGCCCCGCGATGCCAGCCCAGCGGCCGACGCCGGCGCGGACGTCATCACCCCGGCGACGACTTGCCGCCTGGCTTGGCTGCCTGCCTCTTCGCGTCCGCCTCGAGCTCCTCCTGCCAAAGCCTGAACTGCTTCAGCACCGTGGCGTCGGTCTTCTGGGACTCGGCCATGTGCTTGTCGAACTCCGAGGTCCGCAGCCCCCCGCTGTCGTCGAGCGACGCCTGCAGGAACCGCTCGAACCCCGAGAAGTCTGGATTCTTCGGGCTCCTCCTGACCGCCCGCTGGCACACAATGACCCGCCGGCAGATCAAATCCACGCCCCACAGCGCGGGAAGGTTCAGCTGGTCATGCGACTGAAAGCACCGAAGGTAGTCGAAGCACAGCCGCACCTCCCGCGCAACACTGCTCTGCGGGTTCACCCCGCTCTTGCTCTCCCACCACGTTGGATACAACTGCAGCTCGAGCCCAGCTTTCGTCACCTCGGTCAGAACCTCGTCGGCCACTGACGGTCCGTCGAACGGCCAGTCTTCAAACCTCGGGACCTTGAACAAGTTGACCGACTCCTTCAACAATGCGCTGCGGCGCCCAGCGCTACCCCGCTGGATCGGATGGATCCTCAGGTCTCTGCCGGGCCCGCTCCTCTTCTTCTCCAACCACTCGTCCAGCTGACGATTGGGAACCCGTTCTACACTGACCCAATCCTCCTCATCCTCGTCGACGAGATACAGCCCGCAGTCACCTCTGACCACGGCTCGGTTCCCTGGCAGCATGTCCGAGTCCTCGAGCTCACAGCTGAACTTGCTGTGCCCAGGGTCCGACACTCTCCACCGTCTGGCGGCACCCGCCGTGGCGCTCGGGGTGACCTTGTACCCCAACACCCTCGCGAGCTGCAGCCCCCTCAAATGGATATCCTCCTTCTGCTCCTCACTGAGTGGGTCGAACCCGTACACATTGCCCGGACACGCTTTGAACATCGCGTCGCACGATTCAGAGGCACAACTCGGTGGCTCGCAAGATCCACAACCTCGATGCCGAAGTCTGGTGTACTCGCTACCCACCGCCCAGGCCCCAATTCATACAACAAAACTCTGTGGTGCCATCGGATGTCCGGGTCATCTGGGAAATCGATGCACACTTGAATCAAGTCTGTGTCCAACGTCTCAGCCATTGATGCGAGATGAAGACGGTGTCACTACTTCTGGCCGACGCTGGGACTGGAGAGCTTCAGTGCCTGGAAGGACCGACTGCGTCTGGGGCCTGTCACCGACGGCCCTCTGGAAGCTTCCCTGCCAGTCCACTCGTCCCACGAGGGCCAGCGCGAGGTAGCCGCCGAGGAGAACTCCGACTATGATCCCGAGCCCCAGCCCCGCGAGCAGCCAGCACCACGCCGACGACCAGGCCAGCTCTGAGCTAGGCCGCGGGGGCGCAGGCGCCAGCCCAGCTGCCGTGCAGCGATCCAGCTGCCCCTGGATCACGTCCAAGAGCCCGCGATCTGGCCCAAAATCGCAGTGGCAGATACAAGGCTGGGTCGAGGACAGGCGCGTGCCAAACACCGCGCCGACGCCGAAGGCCCCTGAGTATGCTGTGGGCGTGTCAAGCGCCCAGTGCATCCCCTGAGACAGGATGACTGCAGAGAGCCAAAGAGCCCGGCCTCCCGTTCCCCGAGGAAAACCGTCAAGGACTGAAAGAAGTTTCAAAGATGCTGAAAAGATCGTCCCCAGACTATGTTGTTGACTATGTGTTGGTACTCCTCCTGTAGAGGGACACGCCCGACTGAAAGGAAGGGGGAGTCCCTGCGCCAGATCTCCGCGGAGCTGTTCGCTCTGGCCGCGCGGGGTGGGCTGCCGAGGCGGCGGCCCTGCGCCTCTCCAGCTCCTCTCGCGCCTGTGGCTCGATTCTTTTCTGACGCTGGGCCAGTGGAGGGCTCCTCCTGCTCGTACTTCTCCTCCTGCAGTATTCCTCCTCCCAACTCCTTGTCCTCCACCTTCTCCTTGTCTCCCTGCTCCTCCTCCTCCTCCTCCTCCTCCTCCTCCTCCTCCTCCTCCTCCTCCTCCTCCTCCCTCCTTCCTCACTTTGGGCAACGCCCCTCCTCAATTTTCATACTCTGCCCTCCTTGTCTTCCACGGTCTATTCGATCGAGGGTTGTGCGGCCCTCATCTCGTCCCGGGCCTATGTCGTCGAACCCATATATGCGCCACCCCAGGCAACGTCTTCACCCTCATCCTGCCCCTCCTCGAACAATTCTCTTCGCCTCCCTCCTCATCCCTTACCTCCGCATCTTCATGGTCCTTCTCAGCATGACCGTCGACCGTTACTCATTGTGGATACTAGTAGCCTCCCTTCTTCGAAGACGGCAGGGGAGTGGCCCGCCCCAATCCGCGCACGGACTTGTTTCCCACAGGATATCATTAGTTGATGTCTTCAATTGGAACATGTCTGGTTTCTCCAAAACGGTGTTGCTGCTGCAGCGCTGACCTCATCTTGAGATCGGCGGTTTGCCCGCGTCGTTAGGCATGGCACTCTCACCCTAGCGCAGGCCACTTTTCTGGATCCGAGTCGTTCCTCATCGTTATCGCCCCCTCTTTCCGCCTCATTTGCCTTCCCCTGGTCCTCATGCTCCTCCCGCTCCATTCATTCCAATTCCCGCTGCTGCTGTGTGTCCTCGTGCCCCCCTTTCCTCACCCTCCTTCTACTGCACATCATGTTGCTCATCCGCCACCGCCTCCTCCTTATCCCCCACCTTCTATGGTACATGTTCAATCGTTCCTAGCCCGCTATGAGCATGCGTCCGCGGATGGAGAACCATCAACGCAATGGCAAGGGGCGGGTGGGAGGGGTTAAGCGAGCGCACCTAAAATGTCATCTACCGACTCCTCCGACTCCTCCTCCTGGCAATCATTCTCCCCCAAGTCCGGCCGGCCATTGTGCTCCTTTTCGTCGTCGTCTTCATCCTCCCCCTTCTTCTCCTGGCCCACATCGGCGTCGTCCCCCTGCCCCTGCCCGTATTTTTCTTTTTCTTCAGCACGGTCGTCAGAATCATCATCAGCAACAACAGCAACGTAAACACCATCATCATACTCATCGCAGGCATCATCATAAGCATTCTCATGATGATGATCATCATCATCATTAGCGCCATTATCCTCATCGTCATTATCATCAGCAGCATGGTCACCACTATATGCATCGTAATATTGTTCATCATCGCCAACATTAGCAACAGCAGCATCAGCAACATCACCACCACCATCACCACCATCATCATCAGCAGCAGCATCAGCATCAGCATCATCATCATCAACATCAGCATCATCATCATCACCACCATCGTAATCGCCATCATCAGCAGCATCATGATCACCACCACCACCATCCTCACCATCAGCAGTATCAGCATATCATCACCATCATCAAAAACATACCACCACCGTCGTCGTCATCATCACCATCAACATCGCCATCACCATCATCACCAGCATTATCATTATCCCCATCACAATCATCACCGTCATCATCATCATCATCATCATCATCATCATCCTCGTCCTCATCATCATCCTCATCCTCACTCGCATCCTCATCCTCATCCTCATCATCCTCTCATCCTCCTCCTCCTCATCATCATAATCATCATCTTCATCATTATCCTCATCATCCGCCTCCCCTTCCCACTTCTCCCGCTCGCCATCTTCCCGTTGCTCCTCTTGAGCAAGGGAGTTGTGAGTGCCAGCGGGAGCGGGACATACTGAAAGGGAGGGTGGGGTGTTCTCATCCTCTCCCCACCTGACTCCTCACCCCTCCAAAATCCTAATCATACCCCGCCTCCACGTTTCTCCTCGATCATGGTCCTCCACATCTCGAGCCTCCCAACCTAATCCTCCTTCTTCTCATCTCCTTCCTCGTCATCCTCATCCGCCTCGTCCTCGCCCTAATTCTCCTCCTCCTCCTTCCACCCTCCTTCTCGTCCGCCTTTCCCCCCCCCACTCCTCGCCCTCCTGTTCCTACCTTCTCCTCCTCATCATCAACAACATCCTCGCCCTCCTCTTCTTCGTCGATTATCCTCCCTTCCCTCCCTCTGCCCGTCCTTCCCTGACTCCTCCCTCTCATCTCTCCTGGCCCTTCTCCTCTGTCCTCCTCCTTTCCCCTCTCCTCGCCCTCACCCCTCCTCCTCCTTCCCCTCCTCCTCCTCCTCCTCCTCCTCCTGATTCCTCCTCCACCTACATTCACTCTCAGCGCCCACGTCCATCCCTCCTTGCCCTCCCCACTCGCCTCCCCACCCCTCGCCCTTCTCCTGCCTCTCTCCCCTCCCATGTCGCCCCCCCCCCTCTCGAGGAAGGCCCGGAGGGCTGGCTGGCGCAGGAGAAGGGGGGCGGAGGCCAGACTGGCGGGCACAGCCGAGGCGGCAGGACGGACCAGACGCATCGGTGGCGCGGGCGGCGCTATCTATCTTGCCACCGTCCGGGCGTACGACGACGACCACGACGACGACGGCGACGGCGACGACGACGACGGCGACGACGCCGACGACGACGACGGCGACGACGCCGACGACGACGGCGACGGCGACGGTGACGGCGACGGCGCCTTCCCGCTCTCGTTTCGGTCTCACGCGCGTTGTTGTTGCAGGATGATCCAGGATGCTCCTCGATGGTCTTCGCCGAAAGAAATACGCACGTCCAGGTGGCGCCAAGCCATGGGAGGAGGGCCTGGGGCGTGGAGCCTGGGGAGGGTTTTGTGATCCTTCCCCTGCGATGCTCGAGGATCCTCAGGACGTGTGCTGACACCAGCGCGTGCTCGTCCCCCGAGGCGCTCCAGCGTGACGTAGGCGGTGCCGTGCGGGCCGAACCCGGCGGCGTGCTGACGGCGGAGCCGAGCGGGGCGAGCACATGTTGGGCCAGCGCAAGCGTCTCGAGGATCACCGAGGCATGGAGCCGAAAAGCCCAAGCAGCGGCGCAGCACAGCGTGTTCGCGGTGGGCATCGGGCGGACGGGGTGGGGGGGGGGCAGGGGACAGGATCTCAAGAACAGGCCATACCACGTAGTGGTCAGGGAGGAATGAAGGTAGGCCCAGACGCAACCGCTCAGCCTTGCTAAGACGCTTCTGCTCCCTGTGGGGAGCCACTTTATGAACACATGGCCTCGACAGCTCACGCAAAGAACAATGAGCATAGAAACCACATGATTGGGAGGAAGGGGAGGAGGAGGAGGAGGAGGAGGAGGAAGAGGAGGAGGCGAAGGAGGAGGAGAGGGAGAAGGAGGAGGAGGAGCAGGATAGATGCAGGGAGTGAGGGAAGGTGGGGGCTTCACCTCGTCGTCCTGCCTCCTTCCCTCTTCCTTGTGGGCAGCTCCACCTGTCGCACCATCAGACGTGTCCGCAGGCCAGGCCGTGCCACCAGACGGTTCCGATATCTGACAAACACAATTTCAGCGGACCGTCCGTTCGACCGCCTTCAGAATGCAGCTCCCGACTCAGCGCCGTGCACATTCGTCTCAACACAGTGCAACGGTTACGTGGATGTATGGATGGATGCGGCTCTCGCCTTAGCGCCAAACGCATCCTTATTAGTTGCTTGCAGCCTTTGCAAGGATTTACTCTGGTACTTGTGCGAAATATGTCTCTCGCCATGCCGCCGCGACCCTTCGCTCTAGCAATTGGCAAAATGGGGACGCTGCCCGTTCGACATGGGACTACGGCTTGACCTGTATTTGTTCTACTCGGCGACCAGCACCTTGAAGCGATGTAACGGCTGAGCGGATGAAGGGCGGCTCCTGCTCGAAAGTGGGATCTCGCATGAGATGTTCCTGGATCACATGAGCGGAAATGGAAACTTGCACAGCGGCTGCACGGATGGAGACACTTCCTTTTCAAAACAGGGCTCCCGCCTGAATGGCAAGCCTATCGAATCTTTCGAGAGGGGGGGGGCTTGCAGAGATCACGGATCCCTTCTAGGCACTTATGGGAGGCGGGAGCTTGGGACGGGAGGGTGTATTGCAAGATCGTTGTTGCATCCTACGGTGTACTCTGATGCACGCTTCTCCTCCTCCTCCTCCTCCTCCTCCTCCTCCTGTCGTCTCTTCATTTCTCCCCATCCTCCGCCTACTCCTCGCGTCTCCATATCCTCACCCGCATCTCTCCTCGCTCCACCTCCTCATTGTTCTACATGTCATCCTTCTCGACTCTCCTCCTCTCTCCCCCCGTTCCGCACTCACTCATTATCACCCTCCTCTTCCCCCTTCTCATCCTCCACACTCCTCCTCGTCAGACTTCCCCTGCCCCCCCCTTCCCACGTTATCATGAACCCCCTCCTCCTCCTCTGCCTCGTCCTGCCTCACGTATCCACAATGTGCCTCCTCCCCCACGCGATCATGCATCACATCCATTCTCAATCTTCCGAGAGCCCCCCACCGCGTATGTGGAAGAACCAACACAGAAACACTCTCGAAAGGAAGCGGCCACACCTGGAAACTTCATCGTTCCCGCGCGCACAGGCGAGAGCGTGGGGGGAAAAGGGAGGAGGATATGAGGGATGAGGGCGATTGAGATGGAGGAGCTGGAATAATGAGGGCCATAAGAAACCCAGTATGCATAAACGATGCTGCACACTTTCCTG